CTCAACAAGAGAAGGAGCCTCAGAGCTGATTCATACAATAGATGGTCTGTTACATTTTCGTGAGCTCCTTAAAAGGTTCATGAAGCTACAACACATTTATAGCTCTTATCTTTTCTATTTTTTTTATCATGTAATGTTAATGCTTTCATTAAAAGTAAATCATTTACAGAGCACGATGTTGGCCTCTTGCTTTCTAGACTAGTTTCAAATTCGTGCAAAGTCTTTTTATTACACTTAGGGGGAGATCGTTAGCATTTTTGAAGTGTAAGTAAAACTCCTTTTGCTCAATTTAAGAGGACTTAAAATTTGGAAGCAACGTGGAACCACAGCTCGGAAACAGAGCTCGGACACAGAGAAGATTAAGTACCCAAGACAACAAAACAAACATGTTAGTAATATTTTAACACTATTGAAATGTTTACCTAATTGCTTCATCAATGAGGGGTTTGATAGGTTCGATCACTATATTCATGGAGCTTAAAATCATCAATGTTAAGTGGGTCTTCAATGGTATTTCTAAAGCTTCCAACGTCTGACCTTTGCAAGCCTACTACTTTTTTGTAGTGATTCAATGAAAATCAAAACCACATTGTTACTAGAAACACTAGGATTACATTCACGAAACCAAGATCAGGCAAAGGTTAGGAAGATAGAGTAACAAGATTGTACATGTTGCATCCATTGTCGAGATTCCAAACGTTGTTCTTCTATAAGTCGGTTTTGAATGAGGCGGATGTTTAGAAGTTATAGCTTCAATAGAGTTGAATGGGAGACGATTGGATTCGATAAACCTGAAGCAAATCTTCAATGCTTAACAGGTATCAATCGAGATTTTTTAGAAAATCATTTGGCCCGTGATTTGTTAAGGATCTGATTATCCCGGTTTTTTCGTCCCCATAATGTAACTAGTTAAATTTTTTGATTTATTCCCATTATATACCCAAAATCTTTAACCCATGGTGGAATGTTGGTTTACATCTCAATAAATTACTGATTTTGCCATCTCTCCTTATAGCCATTGGTTTCATCTATTAAGTGGTCGAGATCTATCACTTTATTTTCTTAAATATATACCATTCTCATTTGAAATATATATATATATATATACATATATATATATATGTATGTGTGTGTGTGTGTGGCAAACGGGTTCATATATGAACCTTTATGATTCACATATGAACTAGATGTTCATATGTGAAACCATTAGTTAGTTGACAACTATTTAACTAATTCACATATGAAACCACGGGTTTATATGTGAATCACAAGGATTCATATGTAATTTCGTTAAAATAGTTCATATGTGAATCACACGAGTTCACATATGAACATATAGTTCATATGTGAATCACACGGGTTCACATATGCACTTGTTTTGCCGTCTATTTGTAAAAGTTACAAAACTATCCCTCTATCTTTTGTATACCACGCGAGTAATTATCTAGTGTTACACAGTCAAAGCCGTAAATCTTGATCAGATGAAGGGCTAGGATCACTTCTTTATTTCTCAAACACTGACCACTTCTCAACTGAACCTATGGCTATATATATATAAGAGAATAATCAAATGAAGACCACAAAAGGTTAAAAATCGTGGATACCACTTACCATGTGTTATTTCACAATGTAAAACAATGTATACAAATGTATAGCCTTATTTCACACTGTGGAAAAAAATATAAAAGAAAAACAGTTAAAATAAGCATATTGTGAAACAACACTAATTTTTCTTATGTATTGTTCTACAATGTAGAACAATACATGAGAACTAGTTTTTACATTTCTTAATCTTTTTTAATTTTTCATTTGATTAATTCCACACACAAACATACTCACACATATATACACATACACATAGGGGCACATTCAAGAGAGAAATGATTAGTTTGTGGTAACCTTGAGATCCAATGTGAACCACTCGTTTGAGATTTTTAAAAATATTTCTTAAATATGCTAAAAGGGTAATTTAATAATTCTATTTTTGACAACTAATCAAAATATTTAATTAAAATTTTTAGAAGGAAATACTTAATTAAAATTAGTTACCTAGTATATCAATTACCTAATATACATCGTATTTTAAATACGTTTGTGAATCAAAGTGTTTTATAGTTATAATGTTCACAATGTTTCACATGTATCACAATGTATTTTCTTTATTTTATGAAATGTATCATAGTATGCATTTTCGTTATTTCATTGCTAAACAAAGGGTATCACATTGTGTGTCTTGTATGTATATCTGGGTATCACAGTGAATATCGTTTGTAGGTATCTGTTGGTCCCAAAAGGGTCTACAAGAATACTAAACAG